TATATATATATATATATATATATATATATATATGTTGAATAGAAGAGTCAGTTAGTTAGTTCTGTATTCGGTGTCGAGAGGGTTCTGTCTCCACGGGGAAAGCAGCCTTTCACTGGCTAAAGAGAGTAGAGCTACTAGATTGCATGCATTGTATAAATAATATACGGAATATAAGGAGTACACATATTAGAAAAGACTATCTGATAAAGGGACATTTGTCATGTAGCTGTATCTGGAGCTGGAGAGGGGGCCTTGTCCTCTGGGTTTGCCTTTTGCCTTGATAGCCGCTTGAGGAGGGCCTGCAGCTGCACGTGTCTGGGAGGACAGATCGTCTCTGCCTTCTGTGGAGCTTCAATCGCTCTCCGAAGCATATCTGTTTCGACATACAAAAATGGATAGGAGAGACACTAGGAAATAAAAGGAAAGAGGAGACACAAGGATGCAGAGACAGATGAAAAAAGATAGGAAGGGGAGAGACACGAGGCCAGGGCTGGTCCAAGCAAGAAAACCGATTAGAGAGAAACCAGGAGGAGACACAAAAGAATAAACTGTAGAAGGACAATCAGAAAATAACAGAGAAAGTAGACAAAGGCCGTGCCTGTACGAGGAGACAAAATAGGAGCCAGACAAAGGGCAGAGAAAAGCAGACAACTCCATCGAGCAAATAGAGACGAACGAAAAAGCAGCAAACACACACAAACCAGGGGGACACACGAACCAGGATATGAACAAATCCCAACCAGCAAAAGGCGACACAAACAGAGACAACAAAAAGCAGTCACCACAAGGAGGCACAAACGCAGATGCAGAGCAATACTCTAGGTAAAAACACGAGCTAACAGTAGTAACATGAACGCGAACAAAAAGGGGAAAAACTGGAGATGGACAAACACTACGGGAGACACATGAGATTAGGCAGAAACAAATCAGAGTAGGAGACGGTTATACTGTGAAGACTCACCAACTCCCTGTTCACCAGTGACTCGAGACAGCTGAAACAAGTGTTCGCCAACGATTAGCACTTGCAACCCTGCAGCAGCAGCCAGTACCAGAAACAGCAGCATCAGCGATGCCCACACGTTGCTTGGAAATGTGGCAGCATCATGTGCTGCAGCAGCAGCACAAGAGCAGGGAGCAACTGGAGCAGCGCCGGATTGGCGCAGGCACGTGCAGAGTAGGCACAGGTGGCACATGCAGCGGAAGAAGCAGGATGCACACAAGCAAACAGTAACACCAGGAGGGGTACGCAGCAACACCAGGAGGCACACGCAGCAGCGGCGACAGGAGGGACACAGAGCAGCAGCAACAGGACACACACAAACAGCAGCAAGACAATACACGTGCAGGAGCAGCAAAGCATTTTTTCGCCTACCCTCATCTTTAAATGTTGTCTCCAAGTGTCTCTTCTTCACATATTTGCTGGCTGCAGCAAACCGTCAACACACAAGCATAAAGCACCAAGCCGTAAATTATGAACCCTCAACCCTAAATTCTAACGTCCACGCCATCGGCTCCAAACCTAGAGTATGAAGACAGCTGCAATACCTCCTGCAGACCCTTATACCATTGCTGCTACTCCTGCAACTGTTGGTGTAGCTGTTTGCTACAACTGCTGCTGTAGGTTCTGCTACTGCTTACGGCCAAGGCAGCGATCGTCAATTTCCAGGACGAGCTGCGCGAATTCGCAGCACAAGAATAGCTTTGGAGATGCTGCATATGAGGGCTGCAATCCAGGGCTTTAGCGCTTCCATTGGGTTTCAACGAAGCTTTCGCTTGTATAATTTATAATTGCGAGTCTTGGTTTTAAGGTATTAAGGTTTAGACTTACCTTTCTTGCAGGGCAGTAAAAGGAGACATTGTACGGACCAAGCTGTTCGTTGCAAATCCAAACGTCAGCAGCTGGCTTTGGAGTTGTACTTGCCTGGGGAGGCTGCTGATGCGGCTGTTGGAGGTCGGGTTGCACCTGAGAATCAGTTGTGTCCGCTGCTGCTGTTTCTGAAGCTGCAGCTTTTGCGTTGTGTCCGGTGCGTTTGGTGGGGTTGGTTTGCCCGGGATCAGCAGCTGTCTCCTCAGCGTCTGCAACTGTCTCCTCAGGCAGCCCCCCTGTCTCTTCCAGGGGCCCCTGCTGCGACGTCTTCACCTCGCAGCCCAATTTCTCTAGAGCTCTTCTTAACGTGAAATGGAGGCGACGGCTCTGCCGTCGGTCTTGCAAAAGCAACACCCGAGATGCATCTGTTGCAGCGGCTTGCAGTGCCGGCTGCAGCAACAGCAGCAGGAGCAGCAGCATAGAATGATATAAAAGACAGCTCGCCCAGCCTCAATGAGATAAAGAGGAAGACACAAAAGAAACGGAGAAACGCAACGGAAAAGCGATAGAGGCACACAGAGGGACAAACGAGGAACTGCGAGGAAGAGAGAGAGAGAGACAGCAGCGGACGGACAACGGGACACAGAGACATGCAGAACACACATGGCAAAGAAATGGAAAAAATGCAGGAATAAGCAGATAAGCCGGAACACTCACAGGCACTTGGAGACTCGGGAGGAGTTCTTTGGAAATCTCAATTTCTTTTAGAATATCCTGAAAGGAGGCATCAGGAAACAATCAGACAACGGTCCGTCAACTCCCCACACGCGCAGGGACACGGCAAACCAACAGGACAAAATTCAAGGAGGAGGTCGACAGAGGAGCCAGTTGCGGAGACATGCGAGAAAAAGTGATCCGAGAGGTCAAGAGACAGCCAAAAAGCCTAGTTCACGTGGTAGGCAAGGACAGGGCTGAATAGACAGACGAGGAGACAACTGCAGCAGCACTTTACGGGCAAGGTTGCGGACGCAGTCAACTAAATGACTCAGGAGAGACAGCTGTGACTGACAGGAAGCAGTACGAGGGACGCGGGCTGATCTGTCTCCACTCTCTCTAGGGCCCTCTGCAGAAGAGCCGTCACTTCAGCAGGACTCCAACTGTCTCCAGCGACCGCAGGATCAAAGGCCCGCAGCGCACACAAAGCCCAACACAAACGCTGCATCAGCAACAGCAGCAGCACGAGCGGTAGGAAGGGGGCTGTAGTGCTCATCGGAGGAAGAACGGAGGCGGATTTAAAATGCCTCAAAACCGAATGGAGACATATTGAGGCAAGGGAGGTAGTTGAGGAGACGGAGGATGGGAGAGGAGGGACAGGAGGCACTTGAGAAGCCAAAGGGCACAGAAGGAGACAACGAACGAGATGACGCTGCATCAAGGGGTTGGCCAAGGGAGACAGAGAAGCACCAAGTGGCAAAGGAGGCACCGGTGGGTTCGCAGAGATACGTGGAGATATAGGAATGCGCAGAGCAACACGATGCGACGAAAGCAAGCACAAGAAACAAAGGGAGAGATGGGATGTCAGAGCAAGACAAAAGGGAACAAAATAATTACTGCGAATACTAGGGACTGAGTTCGCGGGATCTCTTCTAATCCTGCTGCCTCCTGCAGAAGATGCGAAAACAAACCCCCAAAACGTTCTGGAGAGACAGAAGAAGCCAGCCAGCCAGACAGCCACACACACACACACACACCATAAACCCTTATCCATAAAATCTCAACCCTAAAAGTCTACAGAGAACGCACATTTCGACCGCAGCCGCGCACCGCTAAGGAGACATCCTAAGCGTCTCGACTGCCTCCTATACACATGTACCATGGCTGTGAGGAAAAGCAAATATATTTAGATACTTCATTCCTTATGGTGGCAGACTGTTGATAAAGATACAGTGGAGGGTGTAGTGTTTAGGGTTTAGCTGACGGGGTTGAACTCCGTTGAGGGCAACGGCGAAGAGCGCCGCTGCAGTCCCTTCTGCTCCTAAAGTCTGCGCTTCGGCGTACAGTGGAGACACCCGAGAGACTCTTTTCAACAGCACTTCTGTGAAGAAGAGTAGCTCCTCTTCAGACACTACACCCACACATAAACACAACCATTATATATATATAATATAT